TATATATATATATATATATATATATATATATATATATATATATATATATATATATATATATATATATATATATATATATATATATATAAAGAAAGCAAACAAGGCTTGCTAAGTTTTTGTGTCTTTCTATATATATATATATATATAATGACATGCGCACATAACTTGACTTCATTAATATATATATATATATATATATATATTATATATATATATATATATATATATATATATATATATATATATATATATATATATATATATATATATATTAATGAAGTCAAGTTATGTGCGCATGTCATCACAGTTTACCAAGATATATATATATATATATATATATATATATATATATATAGTACAATCTGCAGACATGCATGCCTCGTCAGGGCAGCTTGGTACACGTCTAGATACGCGAGACACTCGTATTTATATCCCATGAACTTGCTCTCACCAAGGCATGTGGTACAACACGGTGAGTCAACGCATCCAGACATGCGCAGAGCGTAATGGGGCCAGAGCGCTCAAACGACCACAAGGGAAGTGAGCTAAGTAGAAAATGTTCTCCAGTGTTTATTTCATAATTTCCATACCCAGCGCAAGCAGAATATATATGAGCATGCTTTACCAGAAGAATTTTATTTTGACAGAAAATCGACCAGCAATGATCCCGAGTACTTCTTCAACGTCTTTTCCAAATGGAAATTATTCCTCAAGTAAGAAGCAATAATCGTAATCATGAAACACTGTCAGTAATCATTTTTCGCATGCACATTCTTTTTCGTCACTCAATGATAGAAACCGTATTCCCGCATTTTTAGGCGTGTCAAGCTCGATGGACAGTTTGCAATTTGAAAGATATTTTATGGAGCATGAAAATGGTTTGTGTTATCTTTCTGTGTTACGAAATATTATTGAGCTTAAACAAGCAATGTGTTTGGGGACTGGCTAAACGGAGAGTTATTAAGTGGAGATCGAGTTATGATTTCGGAGAGTTATGTTCGAACCACGCCCAAACCACGCCCACTTTTCCCAACGACCACACCCAACTTCTTAACTCTCTCGACGTTTCCTTGAACTAACATGAGAAAGTTATGTTTGACGTAACTCTCTCTCGTTAACATTATGAAGATGTTAGAGAGTTATTATTTTTTATAACTCTTCGCGTTCACGATTGTGGCAATGAAGAGAGTTATGTCAGTTTTTTTTTTTTTAAAAACTTCCACATTTTAGTAAATATTTATAAATTTACTTTTTTCTCAAGTTGTAGCTTTAACATTTGACGCTAGTAGGAACTTGTAGTACTTTAGTACTTACCAAGTTCATCTGTATGTAAATGTTTATATACATGCTCACTTGGTTTATCTACCAAGCCCAGCATTCAGATACAACTCTCGTATTAGATAGAACCAGAAAACCTTTCCAATGTAATGCTCTATTGCCTGATCTGGGAAAGTATTTCCAAAACCTCAATTGCTGAAAGATTCAATTTTCTTTATTTTTCAATTTTCTTGCAACTATGCTTACCGTATTTACTGCCAAATACATGTCAAAGTATCCTTGGGGAGGGGGGTACTTTGACCCTTCTGATGCAAGCATCTCATTGTTTTGACCGAGTTGAGTTGTATTTCCTGTTTGGACGCACGCTATTGACACGCTGCAAACTGAAATACCAAAGTATAAAATGAAAATCTGAAGAAACAAGCTTTACTGCTTTACTAAGGTTTTCTCAAAAAACTGACGTAACTCTCTTCATTGCCACAATCATGAACGCGCTTGATGAGCGCGGAGAGTTATAAAAAATGTTAACTCTCTAACATCTTCATAATGTCAACGTCAAACATAACTCTCTCATGTTAGTTCAAGGAATCATCTGGAGAGTTAAGAAATTGGGTGTGGTCGTTGGGGATAGTGAGCGTGGTTTGAACATAACTCTCCGAAATCATAACTCTTCGACGCAAAAAACTTTTATGTTTTGTCATATTTGTTGAAGATTACCACAAACTGTGACTACAATTTTTTTAATTTTTGATGCATTTCTCAAGTGGCAAACAAACTTTAAAAAGTATGTTTATTGCTTTATCTGTAAAATAATTATAAAATGAAGAGATCTTAGCCGGATGGTACGCCAAAGAGAAAATGATGTCTGAAGTTCAGTCAGTTGTGCTTACATCAGTTTACATTGCTGTATAAATATGGCGTCAATTTTACAACATCAATGATAATTGTATTTAAATTGACAATATTTAACTATTATTTTGTGTTTCTCAACCGCCAGATACATTTAAAAAGGTTGCTAACTGTGTAAACTACAAAATAAAGCTAATACGAAGTAATTTTTAGAGGAACGCCAAAAATAGAACACTTTTCATTGCAAATACGCCACATTGAAAACAATTGCCTCTTAATAATTTAACTTTCACTTATAGCGGCCCCTAGACCAGCAATCAGTCCACAATACCAAGGCTCTGAACCGCCCAGATTTGACAGGGCGAATAATACCCCAACGTCACCTGATGAATTTTACGGTGCGAGACGTGATCTCAGATTACATGGAGGACGCAATAGACCGCATCCGCTCGACGGTTCGTCTGTAAGCTCAAGTGAGGCAGGGATGCAGCGCCAATTTATGGGATCGCCAAGACATGATATGATGATTGGAAGTAACAGGGGATATGAACAGTATATGAGGACAGGTGTTGATACGAGGTATTGGCAAGGGGATTACATGGGATATGAAAGTTCTACAGCAGCTGAATCACATTCAATGACAGGTAGGACATCACACCAATGAGCTATATATATATATATATATATATATATATATATATATATATATATATATATATATATATATATATATATATATATATATATATATATATATATATATATATATATATATATATCTGGAGTAGTCTGTTTTTTGAGATATGCATGTATAAGCCTTATACTAAAGGGGTTGGTTTACACTATCAAAGTTTCTGTGATCACAGTAGGAATTTTGCATAGGTAAATTTTAAGTTGTGAAGAATGTGTAAGGAAGGTTTGAGGAAACTGACCAAGGCTGTATTTTGGTGGAAATGCTGGGGCAGGTGGAAATATATTTAGGGGATGTGCACCACGGCCCCCATGGAATGTTAGCCCCCTATTAAAGTCAACTACAGTACATGACGTACAGATATGCATGTACTGTACATATGTATCAGTGTATTTATGAATTGTGACTGTACGACTTATCCAATAATTTGCTCTTCATTACAATACTACAAAGTTTATTTCGAAATGTTCCATTAAAAGGGTACTTGATACAAAGATGATGAATAGTTATCAGTTTTTCGAGTGTAGATTCTACGCAACGCATAAAAATTTCACTTTGATCTATCATTTAACCTTTCCCAAGGGGTGGTGCATGACTTTTCGGGGGAGGTTCAAAACTATCTCAGGGGAGGTGCCCACCTGCCCTCACCTCGCCTCAAAATCCGGTTTTGGAACTGACCATAGATATCTTATATACACAAAAATACACTAGATAGCGCATCTCTTTTAGTAAAATTGAAGCCAAGAATATTCCAGCTGTTACCCCCATTTGAATAGATGGCGGCCATGTTGAAGTTTCCCACTCGCCAATAAACGCTTAAAAACAACAATATCTTTCATCATTTGAATAGTTTAAAAATGTATTTGGAATAGGTTTAACTTAATGTTTAAGTTCCCTGTTTAAGAAATAGAAAATAGACTAATCTTCTTATTTCATGGGAATATCCTGAGTCTGCAATCACGGCTTCAATTTTTGAATTGCAAAATAATTAGATGCACTATCTAGTGTATATAAGATATCTATGGCACTGACTCGTTGTTAAACACTGAGTCAGTTGCCTCAAATATTTCGTATAAATCCTTCAAAACTTAAGAATTTACCCATGCAAAATTCCTACTGTGATCACAGAAACTTTGATAATGTAAGCCAGGCTTAACTCGTATCATGCCTGATATCTTTCGATACTTTTTCATTCCAGTCGCTGCGGACAAGGTTGCACTTGTGATTGGAAACAAGGACTACGCTCATCAGAAGTTGCGTGGTTTACTTTACCCCGAAAAAGATGCCGCTGATGTTGCCCAGGCTCTTACGAATCTTAATTTTAAAGTAAGATTAACTATAACTTTATTTATACTGGATAACTCTATCAATTCTAAACTGTTCTTCCTAGAGGTCCAGTAAGGATCATCTCTTATTGATCCAGTGTTACTACAGGAGGAAACCTAAACTAAACTAACTTTATTTATACTGGATACCTCTATCAGTTTTAAACTGTTCTCCCTAGAGGTCTAGTAAGGATCATCTCTTATTGATCCAGTGTTACTACAGGAGGAAACCTAAACTAAACTAACTTTATTATACTGGATAGCTCTATCAGTTCTGAACTGTTCTTCCTAGAGGCCCAGTAAGAATCATCTGTTATTGATCCAGTGTTACTACAGGAGGAAACCTAAACTAAACTAACTTTATTTATACTGGATAACTCTATCAGTTCTGAACTGTTCTTCCTAGAGGCCCAGTAAGAATCATCTCTTATTGATCCAGTGTTACTACAGCAGGAAACCTAAACTGAACTAACTTTATTTATACTGGATAGCTCTATCAGTTCTGAACTGTTCTTCCTAGAGGCCCAGTAAGAATCATCTCTTATTGATCCAGTGTTACTACAGGAGGAAACCTAAACTAAACTATTTTTATTTATACTAGATTACGTTTGTCAGTTCTAAACTATTTCTCATATCATATTTCTCATATATTCATCATCTCTTATTGGACCGTATTACTTACAGTAGTTGTTACTGTTCTCGCTAGTTCGGAAAGGGTGTCAATTTTTTATCCAATGTCATAAAGGTTAAAATATATTCAGAGAACTGCAACGGGTGAAACACACATCCACTAAATCGCTATGTTATCAACAGTACACTGATATTTTTTTCAAAAACATTTTCAGGTAATATCTCTGGTGAACTTGACGTTGAGTGAGATGAGAACAGCGATGCTGGCTTTTTGCTGTTTACTGGGTAAGTTGAAGTACAGTACTTGCACTATCTTATTTTAGCTCCCAATGAGTGGCAACACTTCGCAAATTAGGAAGGAAGATTAGATTGACAACATCTGACCGCCTTTTGTAGCCGCAAATCGTAGTTCTTTAGACTTTTTCTGTGTTGGTGTAATGTACTCAGGTGAATATGATACTTGTGATGTTACTGTGGATATACGCTCAGAGTAACATCACAAGCATCTTTAGACTTTATTGCCTTTAATTTCATGCAATATACTGTATAGCTTAATTTATAGCTTACCAATGATTTCATGGTTGAAAAATTATTGTTGCAGGCTTGTTACGCAATAATGTCATGTAGTTATTCAGTTATCATTCAGATGCTTTCGGAAATTATTGAGGCAGGAGGTTGCCCCCTAGTGTCTGCCACTGCAAGGGATGTTAGAGTCGATTGTATATATATGTCCTAATTCACAGTTTGAGAGCAAAACATTTTGACTCAAAAATTTTAGTAAAATTTCTCAAATATATGAGCAAATTAACTCACTTTTAGTAAAGTAAACCTTGATTCAAAAACTTCTAAGAAAAATTTGAGTCACTGAGAATTGGGTGCATTATTTTACTGAGTTAAAATACTCGGGGCTTTTTTACAATGTCATTGATTATACACTATTTAAAACACTCGCAGTCCTTACTTTATCAGATATGGCTTGAAAACCGACCCATCTTATGAGTTCATTGGCGAAGTAATTTTAAAAATCAACGTTTTTTAAGCCGAGAAATTAAAGCTAAAGTTTATGTAAATGAAGATGATTTTTTATCACATATAAAACTACCCACACAGCAGTGACTTCCTTTGTCTTTTCCTCATGAATTTCTAATGATTTCTTTTAAATAGTTCAATCATAACGGCTTATTGACCGATCGTGTGAGGTTTGTACTGTGAAATATCAGACCGAGGTTTTTTAGTATGGACCGAGCGACGAAGGAGCGAGGTCCATGCAAAAAGCAGAGGTCTGATATTTCACAGTACAGACCGAACAAGCGAGGTCAATAATCGGTTTATTATATGGCTGAACTGAGTCTGTGAGCATATGCTTTTCGCGCGAATTAAATCGGCTATCGTCAGTTTCACTGGGTAACAATATACGGTAGGCATGCATGCTCAATAAAAAACAATTTGGTTGTTTGAAATTTTTATCTGTAAAGCACAATTGGAAATTTAAAAAGCAAAAATTTTTTCTGTTTGCAAAGCAAAAATTTCCCGCCAGATAAACGACATCCGGGACACCGGTCCAGATACGGAAAATACGGACCACGGTCCGGATATGGGTTTTTACGGACCGCTTGTCAACCAATCAGAATAGAGAATTTTGAAAAGCCATATAATAATTCTGTTTATTTCCAGGCAACGGTGTATATGGTGTGGTGTACTATGCCGGACATGGCTACGAAGACAACGGGGAGAATTTTCTCTTGCCTGTGGACTCGGATCTCAAGTATAATCGTGAACACAGTCTCAGAACTCAGGAGATACTCGAAGCGATGCAGCAATGTGAGACGTCCTTAAATCTTCTCATTATTGATGCCTGCCGCGTGAGGTTAGTCTATTTAGGGGCTGTTCATATAGACAGGGGGGTTACTCTTTGGGACCGCAATAGAACATTGACAATTTTCTATAATCAAGTATATCAACATCGGACAGTGTAACGGTGTTGCACTAACAAGTTGTCAAGCTTAATGTCATAGTTTATTTTAACAGAAAAGAATTAATTTCAGTGCACTGAGTTCACGGCTTATTTTTGCTCGTACAGTATAAATAACCCTATTCGCAGATATATAGTGTTGTTAACCAAAAATGTTTTTGTTTTTCTATAGTTTACCAAACAAATCAGGCTCAAATGTACCGCGGATAAAAAGAAACTCCACCGGCAACAACATTTTTGCCTTTTCCTGGTAAGAGACTAAACTGTTTTTCATATTCCATAAATTTTACAGTGGATTCAATCAATACCACTGTTCTACATGCTAATAGGCCGTTTGCTGTGACCTCGAAAAGTGCCTAGAAAACGATTTTCATTTCCCATGTCTTGGAAGTGAAATATTGTTATGGGAACTATAACACTTTCGAACACGCTGAGTTCAAATCCAAAAAGTTCCCGCTTCGTAGACCCGCAGTTTTCTCACAAACTGCTATTAGGGACCTTTAGCAAATAGGTGACGGCAACGCGACGACGACGGCCAAAACAAACTCGTTCAAATAAGTAACTTTAAGATCAACATGTCTTGTATTATCCGTTGTATAAATTTATTGCAATTTAAGAAGGTTAAGACAGAGGTTTATAGTTGAGAAGACTTCTACTGTCTCTACTAAGCCAATTTGCCGAGGACGACTTCTCGCGGCTTGAAAGGCAGACTGGCGTTGTGTACAAAACGTGAAATCTTTGGTTTGCTGTTGTAAACAGAGCAAGGACGACGTCTAAAACTCCCAAGGGACCTTTAATTATGCATTTTCTTTCTACACTGTCATAAATTTCATTGTATTAATAGGCGTCGCCGTCCTGCTAGCTAAAGGTCCCTATTTTATCTTAGTAACATCACAAACATCATATTCATTTGAGTACATAACACCAGCACACACAAAACGAATAATAATAATAATAATAATGATAATTTTAATAATGCTAATAATATTTGTATTTTCTATTTTAGTTGCAGCCAGCAGGAATCATTGGAGAAGGTTCATCCTGACTGGCAGAATGGAATGTATTGCGCACAGTTGTTGCGAAGACTTGGAGAGAACAAAAGAGTTGAGAATATACTCATGGATGTTGCCACAGGTAGACAAGGCGATATTTTGTTTGGTTGGGAAGAACAAGAAACGTTTTAGGTAAACGCCAGCCAAACGCAGTGGTACCTAAAGTACTTTGGATTTGTACTCAAAGTAGAAGTAATTAACAATAAAACGACTTGAGTAAGAGTAGAAAGTACTGGAGGCAAAACGTACTTAAGTACAAAGTATCCTTAAAAAATACTTGAAGTACAAAGTAAAAGTACTATTTTCTCTTGCATGTAGGGGAGTCTGCTGAATGGATTAGCATACAAAAGACACAAAACAGCACATGCATTATGCGCGTGCACCTAATATACAATATTTCACGGCATGGTCTACTTTCCAGACCCCGTTGAAGATATAAGAAATCCATTAAATAAATAATGCTTATAAGTAAGCCACAAATGAGAGATCCCAGACGCATGTAGAGGTCCTATTACTTATCCCAAAATTAAAATAAATCAGGAATAAATCACGTAAAATTAAACAAAAGTTAGAAAGTAACGAAATACTTCGCCACAAATAGAAAATAACGAAATAAAACGTTACTTCTTAAAACGACTTCGTTCCAAGTAAAAGTACTCCAGAAAAAGTTTACTTTGTTACATGCTCACTTCTCAAAAATAGTACTCAAGTACAGTAACGAAGTACTATTTAAAACACGAGAAGGAGTGTTTTATGAAATTTAAAACGCGAGGCGCAGCCGAGCATTTTAGATATGATAAAACGCGAGTTCGAGTGTTTTGAATAGCTTAAAATACGACTACAAAAGAATACTAATTAGGATGAACAATTATATAATCATACTAATTAGGATGAACAATTATATAATCATACTAATGCAGATGAGTTTTATCAGATGTAAAGTCACTCCACGTGACATATTATGGCTGACATGATTTGCCACAAGGTTTATGAATTTTATTTTAAGTACATTTTAGAATTTTATTTTAAGTACAGAGTATTTTAAGTACATTTACTTCGTTACTTGACACCACTGGCCAAACGTATTTTTTTCTTTATCAGTATTTTTCTGGCTTTCTTCACTGAAATTTTCTTCACTGAAAACTACATCTACTGTACGATCGTTGTGCAATCCACCAGAACAGGGTTTTAGCTAGAGGGCCGTGTTGGCCGTGTTATCGCGGCCAAAAATGGAAAAACACGGCTAGATAAAATGAATGCGGCTTCATTATTTATATAAAGCCGTGTAGATTCATAAAATAAGGTGTTACTGCTTACAACAGACATAACATAATTTCTTCCTATATTTACGTCGTAAGAAAGTTTGTAAAATCTACTGTAGTTGTTGAAATTGGCAAAACTGATCCGTAATGTTTTAATGTTTTGATGGATATGATGTTACTGTAAAATGGTTTTAAATACCCCCAAGAGTTGCTGAAATAACTTAATATTTTAATGTCAGTGCGCAATATGAGCGTATATGCTCGCCTTGTATTTGGTTCCAAAGCATAGAACAACCACAGGCATTGTCTGTTGTTGGCGAGCCATAACTAGAACCGTGAATTTGGCTATTCAAGGTAATTGACATGTGCACACCTTGGTCATTTAGAAACACGCCCAAGATCTAAAATCCTAGCTAAGACCCTGCACCAGAACGCATGTAACTGACTGCGGGGCCTTCGGTGGCACAATCGTCTGAGCAAACTGCTTTCACCCCTGAGATCGTGGGTTTGATTCTCGCTACGGACTCATGCATCACACTTATGCGAAAAGAGTCAGTCAACGCTCTACCGAAAGTCGTGGGTTTTCTCCGTGTTCTCCGGTTTCCTCCCACAGGGAATGTTGACAGGGTGGGTTGGGATTAACCCCTAACGGCCCCTTCCACCGTAGTTGTCCTCCGTGATCAGACATGAGTCATAAGATGGCTACCATAGGCGCCCTTAGAAAGGTTTCGACTCGATCAGGTTGGACTGCGTCCCTCGTAATTCAGCTTGGCGCTCAGCTGTAAGTCTGCCTCCTCCGCAGGCCCTCGTTGCGTCATGGGAAGGTCAAGATCTGGCGAGGGCCTGCGGAATCTTGTAAAAAAAATGGCGCCGGCGTCACGTCAGCAAGTAAATTTCTACATAATCTTGAATATAAACAGATATAAAAAAAGCGGGGTGAAACTTGTAAATTAAACTGGCGACTCTAAGGACGTGGAAGGAAGCATTTTTTAACGATAAGGTTTGTTGTCCACACCAACGTTGCACGAATAAAACTGCCTTCTTAAACGAAGCAGGTTCAAAACAACATTTATTCATTTTACAAGATTCCGCAGGCCCTTTCGAAATCGTGACCTTCCCATGACACAACGAGGGCTTGCGGAGGAGGCAGGCTGTAAGTAAGGAGGTGGAGACTGGACAACAGGCCTTTGGACTTTTATGGATATATTAGCCAACTTGATGATGAAAAGTTTCTTGATGATTCTGCTTATTTTTTGCATCGAACTATTGAATTGTCAAAACTGATTGCATTCTGTGGGACTTATTCTCATATTGTGTAAATATTCCTTAGTTATATTTTGTATTCTAAAATTTTTTTGTATAATTTCTTCCATGAGGGAGGCAAAAAATAAAGAATTTCATTTACTTGCTTGCTTACTTACAGTACTTAACTGATAAGCTGATAGTTTGCGTCTGTGTGTTCTTATTTAGATTTTGCTCGGGCCTGTGGTATTCCACAACGGCCGTGCATAGAGACAGATGCAAAGGTGGACTTCAGATTAACAGACCCAATTCAACCGGATATGATGGAAGACGATTTTATGCAGAGATGCCGTATGTGGATGGAGGCAAAACGTAAGAATTCAGATCTTAACTACACTTAATTTGTACTGGACAGCTCTATCAGTTCTAAACTGTTTTCCTAGAGATTCAGTAAGGATCGTCTCTTATTGCTCAAGTGTTACTACAGGAGGAAACCGAAACTAAAGTAATTTTATTTATACTGGATAGCTCTATCAGGTCTAAACTATTCTCCCTGGAGGTCCTGTAAGAATCATCTCTTATTGATCCAGTGTTACTACAGGAGGAAACCTAAACTAAACTAACTTTATTTACATTGGACAGTTCTATCAGCTCTAAATTGCTCTTCCTAGAGATCCAATAAAGATCATCTCTTGTGGATCCAGTGTTACCACAAGAGAGAACCTAAAAAACCTAAACTAAACTAACTTTATTTATACTGGATACCTCTATCAGTTTTAAACTGTTCTCCCTAGAGGTCTAGTAAGGATCATCTCTTATTGATCCAGTGTTACTACAGGAGGAAACCTAAACTAAACTAACTTTATTTATACTGGATAGCTCTATCAGTTCTAAACTGTTCTTCCTAGAGGTACATTAAATCCACTTCTTATTGGTTCAGTGTTACTACAGCAAACTTGGTATATAATAAAACAACTGCCTTAATGCAGGAATTAAACCCTCGTCACGGAGGGTTTAATTTCAAGACTTTCCTATAATAAAGTTGGTAGAAATGCTCGGATGAAGTTAGACGAAAACTTGTCTTTTAGTTACTGTCGTTCCAATTAAAGTGTTCCTCAAATATTGGTTCAATACATTACCTCAGGTTGACCAATTCATTTCATCACGTTCCTCGAGATATTCATACACTTCCTGTGAAAGAGTCAATTCCAAGTATTTGATCATTTCTGGTCACTTCCTTTCTATTTATGATTGGTTAGTTGCACAAACAACAAAGGTGATTGGTGCATTCAAACTATTCATCAGGAAGTTTACAATTATACTAGGAAGTGTATGAATATCTCGAGGAACTTGATGAAATTAATTGGTCGGCCCGAGGTAATGTATTGAATCAATATTTGAGGAACACTTCAATTGGAACGACAGTAATGCAAATTAATCTTCCCCATAACGCAAAGGAAGAAAGATTTTTGTGACACGAATTAACTCGGTTTTCCAACGCCATCTTGAATCTATTGTTTTCACCATTGTGTTGGCACCCCCTGGAAATTTACCTACAGGGAATTCCATTGTGTTTGCACCCATTGCACTATTGTGTTTCGTTATGGCGTTGTTAACCTTGAATTCCTCTACTGGAATGTCACAACTTTGGTGTTTTCCTCTTTCCACAGGTCACCCGCAGGGGTTTTCAGTAACAGCAGCAAGCTTGCTGATTTCGTTGGATTTTCATGCTCTGTTTGGTAACGTTCTCAGGGTGTCTGTGATTACCGAGAAGAGAATTGAAAAGTCCGTCAAAGAATTTCATTTGAGACTGGAGACAGTTAGTGTAAGTAATAAAACTGGATAGCTCTATCAGTTCTAAACTGTTCTTCCTAGAGGTCCATGCAGCAAGGATCATCTCTTATTGATGCAGTGTTACTACAAGAGGAAACCAAAACTAAACTAACTTTATTTATACTGGATAGCTCTATCAGTTCTAAACTGTTCTCCCTAGAGGTCCAGTAAGGATCATCTCGTATTGATCCAGTGTTACTACGAGGCAACCTAAACTAAACTAAATTCATTTATACTGGATAGCTCTATCAGTTATAAACTGTTCTTCCTAGAGGTCCAGTAAGGATCATCTCTTATTGATGCAGTGTTACTACAGGAGGAAACCTAAACAAACTAACTTTATTTATACTGAATAGCTCTATCAGTTCTAAACTGTTCTCCCTAGAGGTCTAGTAAGGATCATCTCTTATTGATCCAGTGTTACTACGAGGCAACCTAAACTAAACTAACTTTATTTATACTGGATGGCTTTGTCAGTTCTAAACTGTTCTACAAATAATTTACATTTTTCCAGCCCCTCCTCTGCATACAAAAAGGCTGTGATAATACGAAAGAGGGTCCTGTTATCTGCAAACAGATATTTGAAATTCAGAATATCCAGAAACACATCAAATTACAGGTGAGAACTACAAATACTAGATGTATTATTTAGAGCTATTTTGTGTCCAGTTATACTTATACTACAGGAGGGAACAGAAGTCTTTTTTTTTGGAAACATTTATTTTTTCAAACCAAAAAAAAACATCAATTGCCTGGGAAACGGATATGGCAATAAAAATTTAGTTTGTCTCATTTTGAAAGAACTTTTAAAATTATGGGGAAAACGTTTTACAGCTTCTTCAATTGTTGTTTAGTTCTCGAAATATTTCAGTCATTCTTACTGTCGTTCCAATTGAAGTGTTGCTCAAATATTGATTCAATACATTACCTCGGGCTGACCAATTCATTTGATCAAGTTCCTCGAGATATTCATACACTTCCTGTGAAAAAGCCAATTCCAAGTATTTGATCATTTCTGGTCACTTCCTTTCTATTTATGATTGGTTAGTTGCACAAACAACAAAGGTGATTGGTGCATTCAAACTATTCAACAGGAAGTTTACAATTATACTAGGAAGTGTATGAATATCTCGAGGAACTTGATCAAATGAATTGGTCAGCCCAAGGTAATGTATTGAATCAATGTTTGAGCAACACTTCAATTGGAACGACAGTAAACGTGTTTTCATTTCTCTTATACCCAGGGTCCTGTTATGCTCACAATCAAGGCAATGTTCAAAGAAGATGACAAAATCTGTGAATTTGACAAGGAAATAGATCTTGGGTGGCCTCTGGTCTCCTCGATCACGTGTCTTTGGGATCGTTGGTTGCTAGGAGACCGATGCAAGACCACAGCAGTGTAGACGAAGTATAGCCTCGGAACTTTAACACCGGAAATTTGACCCAGGAAGTATAATCCCGCAAGTTTACCACAAGAAATTTGACCCCGGAAGTTTAACACCACAACGTTAACCTCGGAAGTCCGACACCGGATGTGTTATACCGGTAGTTTTATACCGGAATATTAACCTCAAAAGTCTTAACGCCGGACGTTTGACTCCGGAATATTAACCTCGGAGGTTTGACCCTGGAATATGAACCCCGGAAGTTTGAAACCGGAAGGTCCATACCGGAACATTTTCCTAGACCTGACGACCCTTCCATGCTCGGTCGCAAAAACAAGTAGTAACAGATAAGGTTGCAAAATAATATGCCCTGAAGATAAGGAAATATAGAAATATATCCCGGAATGATGAATTTTCTTGTGCAAACAAGATAATTCTATTCCAAGTGGTAAGAAGTCTGCACAAATGCCAACATTTTAGATTGGCATTGTTGATATGATAGTCTATGACTAGTTATGTGATGGTATCCATCAAAAATTTGTAAATACGCTACAACAAATGGTGGTCTCTGACTTCAGAAATTTAGGCAACTTCTAGCGGCAAAAAAAATTAAACTCGAAATCTCAATATGAAAATTAAAGGCCCCGAAAGTCCTTGACTATATAAAGAAGTGCTATATAAATCTTGACTATATAAATCTTCTTGCTGTAGTTTTTGGATATTTTCTGAAATTGCTCCACATTGAAAAACGGACATTTTGTTGAATTGATTTTGTTCATGTCTTAATCGTCCGACCATCCGTGGCCATGGTTTCTCGGATATTTTTTATTTATGTGGTATTCTGAAAACCAGTGGTATATTTATGTCATAGATGAAAACAGTAAGAGGTCCCCCCATTTCTCCTCAGTTTTTGAAAGAATTACAAAATTAGTCCTGAAGAAATGTGAGGGTCCCGAACTTTTTCTCACTCGGAAAACGTCGGCTGACCACCGTTTGATTCTCCGATATTTCTTATTGAAATCCACGTATAGATAACATATTTGTGTGTAAAGGGTGCTTGCCACTGATCCGAAAACTAACTGGATAGTAAGTACATCGGCTATGCGTAAATTAAGCCAAGTGACCACCAGGCCTGTCCACAAGTTGCTCGGCAACTTTTTTTGGCAATTTTTCCTGGTGGGAGCAACTATTTCTGGGTTTTATTCTCTAATTGCGCAATTCTAACAGTAATTTATATCCAATTTTGCTAGCATAAAGTTCGATGGAGGAATGTTAAAGATTTGTATTTTTTGTCGTTTCACTATAGTTTAAGCTCAGTATTGATACATTTTGAAAGAATTCTATCACGTAATTTATACGACATTTAATACATCAGCATGAGCCAACCGAGAACCACTGGGGTGTTTTTGTCCGGCGTTGTTGATACTCAAAACTTCTAACGCACTTTGATATTTGTCCGGCACCAGTTCAAGCGAATTTTGTGAGGATTTTAAAACACTTGATCCCACTTTGCAAACACCGCGAATACAAAATCAAACGGCGACTGAGCTAGAAACCTTGGGCAACTCTCTTTAAAAACTAGCAACTTTTAGAAAAAAAGAGACTTTTTCGAGCAACTTTTTAGGATTTTTTGAGCAACTTTTTTCGAAATTTTGAACAACTTGTGGACAGGCTTAATAGTGTGGTGTTGGTGATTTTTCCCGTTTCTAGTTGGGTGGGAAAGGATATAAACATTGTCCGAAAAGAAATTTATTAGCTCTGGCCTGCTTTCCCCTTAAATTTGCCGGCGAATAAGTCTCATTATCTAGTGTTTAAAAACGTTCTAAAACTCGTTAGAACGAGATATAGGAAGCCAGGGACGCCGGAACTGGGGGGGGGGTCAGGAGGGGCAGCCGCCCCCGTTGCCGTTTACCAGGAGGGTGAAGGGGGGCAAAGGTGCCCTTTCAATTTAAAGGATTGCCTTGGCGAAATAGCGAATTGTCAGAAATGTTAGTGCAATTATTTTACGAATTTGCTTCAGAAAACGCAAGAAATGCAGTCATCGAGCTTCAAGAATAGCACAATCGTCTGGCGGAGAACCCCTCACACCACTATCATCCAGTAAATAGAAAACATGATTAGGCGAAGTTCAACTCCCGATGTTTTGCAAACATCTCTTAGTATATATCAATTCAAAAGTGCCCTTTCACGAAAATCTGCCCCCCTTGCCTTCACATCGTTCCGGCGTCCCTGTGGGAAGCTATATTTTTCAAAAGTTAGCTAATTTAAAAACTTCGCGATCCGATTTGCACAGATTTTGACAGACTTCAAAATCTCATCTCGTAATATCAGAAGATACTCTATCCAGTTTATGGTTTTCTAGATCAGTGGTGCTTGTATATGAGTTTGAGAAAAAAAAGATAAAAGCAGTCCTGTTTTAAGGGCAAGGTTTTCTACTTTCCAAATTTTTACTTGAGCCTGAGTGAATGAAAAAAGCTGTAAATACCTTTCAGATTGAATATATAAAAATATATTTAGCATTCGCTTTGTTTATTTTTGTACAGTATGATAAATTCAAGCTACCACTTAGGCCATATAAAATAAATTCCTTGATTCTCATCGCTAAATTTTAAAAACTCCCAGGAGGCGGGAGGTTTATATTTTATATTTTATGTCAAAATATAAAAAAAAAGTTTAAAATTTAAAAAATTGGAGAGGGAGGTCTTTTTATATTTGCCTTAAATATATTATAGAAGAACGCTATATAAGTGGATAATTGCACATGCGCTAATGAACATGCATAAGGGTCCACACAAATCGTTGTAATAAGGCTATAAGCCCATTTTTTCCTTCAGTATTCCAAGCATCCCTTAACATGTTGCAATATTAACGATAAAACAATTTTATATCGCAAAAATTCCAATATAAAAATAACTAAATCTCTGAAGATGCTCGCAGTGCCGTAGCTAGCATTTATAGTTGGGGGGGTGTAGGCTAAAAATTCCGAATTACGAAGAAAATTTCCGAACTTTCGAAAATTCTTGGCGACCTCCCCCCCCCCCCGTCGCCAAAAAAATTTCGGTCAGTGTACCATTTTAAGGGTCAAAAATTTTTTCCGGACATACCAAAAGTGAGATATTAGCTAAAAATTGCCTGAATCTCGTGATTTTCGTACAAAAACCATATACTATAATTGCCGTAATTTTCCGAATGGCCATCCCATTTTCCGAATATGTCAAAAGTTGGGGGGGTTAACCACCCCCCCAATACCCCCCCTCGCTACGGCCCTGGATGCTCGGTCGGGCGGTAAATTTATATTTTATAACAAAATACAAAAATATATCAACGCGGAAACCAAAATATCGTCGGGCGGTGATGAGAATCAAGGAATTTATTTTATATGGCCTTAACACAGGCCTATTAAATATGTGAAAATAATAAACGGCTGCATGAATGGCATGGAGAACAGTGGGATTTTCAATGCAATGAAAAGACAATGGGGATTTGCCTCCTGACAAGTCGGAAAATTATCAAGATGTACAGTATAGAGACTCGATTGATTCACATATTGTATTGACATATAAATGTTGACATTGCTTTATAGTCTTCAATATTTGAGTAAGTCATGTTTTGGAAATGGAAAATCATTACCCAACGCTTGAGTAGCCTGTGTACAGCCACTTAACGGCTGTACACAGGCTGCGCTTGAGCTGTTTTGTTTTTTATTTACCCAACCTTTTACTCACTCAAAATTTTGTTTACCCAACCCTTTTCTTTGTGAAGACCATGTCAAGTCCGGTTCTGCTGATAACAAAGGGGGAGGTTGATATTAATTATATAAAGATTGTCCAAATTTTGCATCTTTCGAACTTTTTTGAATTGATGAATTTATATTAATTTACAATTGCGAACCAGAAAAGTGTTAGATATTCAGTTAGTATGTCTTATTTTACAAATATACCAGTTCAAAAATGTAAACAAAGGATTTGTTTACATTACGGACTTGACATTATACGCAATGACACAAAATGAATAGTTATAAATAAATTTGTACAGCTCTGAAAATATTTAAATGTGCAGTAGTGACAAAATAGAGAGCGTTTGGTAGGAATTTAAAAAAAAATCTTTAAAAAATCACTCATTGATTAGAAAATAAATTTGTAATGCAAAATACACAACTTTAAATTCAATCACCCCCCCCCGCTTATGTCCTCTAGCCAGCTGTTGCTATGACAACATTGGAGTAAAAAAGCGCCTGCTTCTGCACAGCGGTATATCATTTTGGTTAAAAAATGAGTAAAAAATGGCGGTCTTGAAAACGTCAAAATAAAACATTTTCATGCATTCTTTTTGAATTCCAAGTCAGCAGAACGCGAGAGATGGCTTGTTTAAATGCGGAAGCTAAAGAAAAGTATCTGCAGTATGTTCTCGACGAATATTGGCGATTTTTACCTTGGAAATACCTCGTAATTCTTGTCAAATCAATTCTTGACAACAAAATTGTTGAAAGAAAGCTGGAAGGGTAAAGTGTTTTGTATGAAGGCCATGCTGGTTAGGTCAAAAAATGTATAGAAATTTATGTTAAAAAAAAAATATATAAAATATAAAGTTCCATTTGCTAATCTACAAAAGCCTATTTACTATAATAGTTCTATCGAACAGAATGCCCAAAATATGATCGTTATATTCACCTATAAACCTTATATCCGGATACTTTCAACTGAAAATCGTACGTAAATTTAACAACCTAGATACAAGGAGCATATAGACTGAACAAGTTTGCTAACAAAAAACAATGCAATTTTGATCGTCTTTGAAAAATCCACCCATGCATGTTGTTTTCCAAATTGCACGAGAAACCATACTATTATAACCATGACCATGCTATTAACCAATCAGAATCGAGTAATTTTTCATGTAATATTATAATCATATAGTGGACAAAACATGGAGACATACAAGGTTCAAGAACTTGACAACTTCACAATTTACATATGAATAAACTACACTCAAATACACTTCACTCAGTTTGTAGTGTTAATACCATATATGGATAACTTAATAGGTTTGAATATAGCATTAAATCATTGACATTTCATAGCATGAACAATGCAATAACATCTGTTTGTGAGTTATTGTGAGGAACGGCGTTTTAAATTAGTCTATACTCTATAGATATTTCTCCGACATGGAGTTTCTGTAAAGCATTATAAAAACAACTGCCTTCTCAAAATCAAGAAAGGGGCCAAACAGCTACAGTTTTGAAGAAACGGGGGCTGATAAATGGCCAGCAATTTTTATGTAGCGCATGCACTCTGAATTAAAAAAACGGTTATAACAGGCTACAACCAGTTCTATTTATGCAAGCTTTGCCGGATGATTGGTAGATTGAGGAAAGTGGGGGTAATTAATTAGCAGATGTTTCTTTTTCTTCTCTGATCTGAAACCTCTGTTTGCAGTGTGCTCAAAGTATTATTGTATAGCTGGTCGCGTAATTTTGAAAACGGGTGTAAAGTCAGATTGATAAAAAACGGCTGTATTAAAAGTTTTCGTTCACTCATCGATTATTGATGTGTTTTTGATAAATTTCAGCGTAATTAAGACGGTAGGATTTCGCATAGAGCAATTGTATACTTGATAAGGAATACTGATGGCTTAGAGACTTTCTAAAAAACATTCTAAGTAAGTAAGTGGTAAGTGGAGTGTGCTAATCATCCTTACTTGCAGCTCAGAGCTAAGCTGAGTTACGAGGGATGCAGCTCAACCAGATCGAGTCAAAGGCTTTCTAAGGGCGACTATATGGCAGCCACCTTGTGACTCATGTCTGATCACGGAGGACAGCTACGGTGGAAGGGTCAGTTAGGAGGATAATCCCAACACACCCTGTCGGCATTCCCTGTGGAAGGAAACCGGAGTACTCAGAGAAAACCCACGACTTTCGGTAGAGCGTTAACTGACTCTTTTCACATAAGTGTCATGCATGAGTCCGTAGTGAGAATCGAACCCAATCTCAGTGATGAAAGGCGATTGCTCTGATGATTGTGATTCTGATCTATTTTTTTAGGATTTTGGGCCGAAAACGGAAACTGTTTTACACAGAAGTAATTGGACGTGCATTCTAAAGGTATGAATGAGTTTATTACGAATGAGTTCATATATTTAAGTAGGAAAGGAGTTGTTAATTTGTTTTGCAAGAGATTATGTTTTTATCCTCATTTCTAAAGCCGGTTACAGACGAACAGGTTTTCATGCATATGGCAAGTTTTCTTTGTCAATTGCATGTGTGTATGTACAACAAAGTTTCTGTGACACGTTTTTGGTTTTCTGCCCGGCACGATAGCTATTATTACCCATTACGACAATAGATGGTTGACCAACAGCATGCAAGCGCTCAAATTATTTTGCCAAAGTTCATTTGTTGATTTATACAGACGAACAAAATTTGTTCTTTGCCAATTTTTCGTATGTCAAGTACACTTGTTCAGTGGCGCAAATTCACTTTTTCCGGTGGGGGGCAAAGCCTGCTAAATTTCCGACAAAACTTTCAAATTTCCGACGTCCCCCCCCCCCATTTGCACTCGAAAAGACTGTTTTTAGCCCTCTTTTAGGTCAAAATTTCCGAAAATTCGTCAATTTTCCGTGAGGGGGCAGCCGCCCCACCAAGATTTCCGCCACTGCACTTGTTGAAAAGCTAGTATGCTGGAAAAATCGGTAAAGTTGCCAACAGAAACGAGCAAATAAAACTTGTCATATATGAAAACTTGTCATAGAAAACTTGTCTGCATGTAACTGGCTTATATGTGTGTTAGCAAGTTAATTTATAAAATTTGTGGGACTAAGACCCCGTTTAACGGTACCGCACGAATTTGGAACCGCGCTGAAATTCGTCCGTTTCGCCCTTCCGTTTACACGAGAACCATGACGGAACCGGACGAATTTGAGACCCCCTAACAGGACGAATTCGCGTGCATGTAAACAGCCGAAAAAGGAGGAATTTCAGACCGGTCCCAAATTCGTCCGGTACCGTTTAAACGTGGTCTAATGGACAGTGGACACTGTCCAATGACACATTGATTAAAATTTGGTTAAATTTGGATGAAAAATGAGCAAAGTTTGTCTTGCTTTGCCGCGCAAAGTAAACGAATCTCTTGAAATAATGAATAAGACTAACTTCATGTAATTTCGTGTGCCCTCTTGTCAAATATTTTAAATATAGAAAAGGAGATCAAGTTGAACAGGTTAAATTAATGCTTAATGAAAGAGACACGGAAGGCTAAAAATGGTTTTGTTGCTGAAAATTTAGTTTACTTGCTATTCCGTATACATTTCTGAGTTCAATTGTGCCTTCAACATTTTCTATACTGTTAAACAACCAATGATTTCACTTGTTGGTGGTAGCCACAGTCTTTTAGTAGTTGACCTGCATCTAACGACGTAAACGAGCTTATTTTCAGTTATAAAATTTGCATAAGCCAAAATCTCAAATTTGATTGGTTACATAAAGGATAATAATGTGCTAATAAGGTGCATAATAGCGACCTAAGTGTAGATTTTACTGTTAGATGGACAGATGAAGATAATTATTATTAAATGATAGAAAATAATACATGCATGGGTGCGCGGAAATACCAGATTTATTTCGACTGTTGAACATTATATAAACCTGGTATTTCCAAGCACCCATGTATTTTTCTGTTTATTATATAAAGGGCAGTCTTTGAAAAGCGATAATTTTCACATGTGAAATTATCATAAATATTCTCACAGGTGAGATAGTCAGTTTTATCAGTGCTCGAAATCTCTATAAATAATAGTATAATAATATAATAATAATACTGGGTTTATTAATATATGTTCGATAGCAAAAAGCTAAATTACAACATGTTTACATCGTCAGATATTAATTAGAATTAATTAGAATTATTACTTATTTAAAACTATTTACATCAATGGACCTATATGTATATTAAAATCGTTTATATATATATATATATATATATATATATATATATATATATATATATATATATATATATATATATATATATATATATATATATATATATGAAATTGTATAAATATGTATATAAATCTTACTTATCTAATTTAAAATTATATTCATTAATAGCATGAACTACAGGGCTGTTTCTAAAACGTTCAGTGTTGCAAAAAAAGTTATAAATCTTTTCGCCATTTGTCCTAGTCTCTCTTTCCCTAATGTCACTCAGTTTCTTTGGCAATAGTCCGTGAAGTCTGTGTGATGGTTGTAACATGTCCTCAATTAAGGAGGCACATAAATTGTTTCTGCGTTCTTCCAAGGTCAGCAGATTGCTCTGAGATAATAGAAGTCCATAATCACAAAGGCCAGTATAAATTATTCGGAGGGCTCGTTTTTGGATTCTTTCTATGTTTTTCTTATGCATTTGTGTCAGACCACCACTCCAGATTTGTGCACCATACTCCAGAACAGAACGAATTACTGTACAATAGAAAGCTAATAGGTCATTTTTTGGTGCACCATAACTCTTTAAAATCTTCATGAAGAGGTAAAGTCGCTTAGCGCCTTTTTTACAATATACTCAGTTTTTTTACAATATATATACTATAGCACTATAGTTGATATAATAAATATATATAATTATGTTGTTATATGAACTGATCTTAAAAGTATAGATCATTCCGCATTGAAGTAATGTTATGACTGGCAAGATTTAAAAGGACATGTCACAATGACAATTCGACGTACATTATAATGTTCAAACATTGTTGTGCCGGGGACAAAATTCCATTCGCATTACACGTTGCAAGAAACAAATTTGGTAGAATTTGCATGAATATCATGAACAGAACCGTCAACTAAAGAATAAAAGAATGATCGAATAGATATACAAGCGAACTCATATGCAACTCAATGTCGTAACTCGTTCACGTCTTTCAGGCTAAAGCCTTACTTAAAGGAAAAGCGGCGAGTAAGCTATAACTAGTAACGAAATTTTCATGCGGTTTCGTTTAAGATATACAAAAGTTTAACGCATACATGCATTTCACAATGCCGCAACTCACAATACTGTATATACTTTTGGGAAATATAGTATTTTTAATGTCACTAGACCGGCTTAACTTAGGGGCCGACCATTTAACTTTTGAGGGAGGGGGTGGGTGATTTTGAAAACAAATTTCTTGCAAGGCCATTCTGAACAAAAAAAAATATCTGCACCAACAAACTGAGGGAAAAAATATCCTGCCCCATTATTTGGTGGGAAATAAAGACCCCTCTAGAGGCTCCCATTTTTGGTGGTCGACTCAGTTGTCTCAGAATCCTATAGGTATGGCCTGAGCTGCTGCCCTATGGCGCATACTTATTAGTTAAACCATGCATATATATGCTGCAGGTAGCTGCAGCGACACAGACTTGCCGACTGGAACTTCTCCAGGTCCCCTGCTAAATATGTCATCTCCAAAAATCTTTTGTAAATATGAAATTGTCAAATGAAGCTATTATTAAATGCGGTGTTCCACATTTCTAACATTTATCAATGATCTTCCAAACTGCCTTGTTAATTCCAAAGCTGACCTTTACGCCGATGATACTCAAGTGTATACTGCATCGCAGAATATATCTGAACTTGAAATTAAGCTAAATAAAGATCTGGCTGAAATTGAAGTATGGCTTTGTGCTAACAGATTACAAGTCAACATCACTAAAACCGAATACATGTTAATCGGAACTGATCACAGACTAAGTAATTTGGACCATGAACCAGTCCTAATACTCAATCATAACATTCTCAAGCGAGTTTTAAAATCAAAAATATTAGGATTAATGTACGATGAGCATCTTCGTTGGGACGATCACGTCAATGAATTAATCGAAAAAATTACTCAAGCTTTAAAAATGATACGACGTGTCAGCTCTTTCATGTCCAGACAAAATCTGTTACTAATTTACCATAGCTTAGTTGAACAACGACTAAACTATTGTAGCGAAGTTTGGGACACTCTGTCTGATGGCCTATCCCAAAAACTTGCAAAAATTGCAAAACAGGGCAGCCAGAATCATCACAAAGAGCGCGTATGACGCTCCATCTAGTGAATTACTTGTTGAACTTAGGTGGCGTGCACTTGCTCATGAGCGAAGAACTAAAAAAGTTATCATGATGTACAAAGTGCTTAACAACTTGGCTCCTGGGTATTTAAAAGATTTGTTTCGCGAAACCAATCAAGTACATGATCATGATTTGCGAAACTCTGATCTAAATCTTTTACCTCCAAAACCAAAGAGCATTCTTCTCAAAAAGAGTTTTTCATACAGCGGAGCTGTAATCTGGAATTCTCTTCCAAGACATGTTCGTTTGGCTAATTCGCTAACAGAATTTAAGAGGTCGCTAAAATTTAGTGTGTAACTCTCCAATAGCGTATAGCCTATACAGTATGATATTATATTATAGTTTTGATAGCTCGCAGCGAGCGAGCCTGAAGCGAGCGAGCAAGTCAGCAGTTCTAATTCGTAGTAGGCTCTGAAAGTAAGATTTTACTTCCGTTTCTCCGACCAGAATGCACTGCTGTTAACCGACCAGAATGCATTGCTGTTAGCCGACCAGAATGCTTTGCATGCATGATGCTATAAATACGGGGAATCTCATTAGTCAGTTTATATAAACCGGTAACGATGCAGTTCTTTTGGTGTATTTTGTATTTCATTGTATGCGTGGTCTGTCTGGTCTCAGTGCATACACAACATAACTTAATTTATGCATGTTTAAGCATGCAACGCAGCCAGGGGCAAGTCAGTAGGATAGTGCATGGGATTGAAGTATGTGCATTGAATATTTTTTATAATTGCTTATCATGCTTTTGTTATGTTAGGCATGTGTCGAAACATTAAAAACAATGTCCTCAACTCTACAGGGTGCATCAAAAAACCTGGAACCCTTTGAAATACAATGTTTTTAGAATTTGCATGATTCAGAACTAATTGATCCTGTTATCACCACGCTAAACTTCATACTTAATTATTAACTTTAATTATTAGTTATAAGGAAAATAGGCCACACCTATATGCGTTAGCTAGCTGAGAACTGTGATTGACATTTTTGTTGTTTATGAATTGGACGAACGCGAACGAA